CAATTTTATCTAAATTACTTTCTAGTTTACTACGGATAATGAATATGTGAAGATATTGATTAATTCAATGATAATTATTGTAATATATCTTATATTACTACTCTCTTCATAATTTATTTCATCATTTTTCATCATTATCTTTTATTTGATGACTTTATAATTGAATATATTATTAATTTCATCTGAATATCATATATTTAAATATTTATACATTTCATCTATTTCATTTATTTTGATATTTTTATTTCAAGATGATTTGATTAATATTCTTTATTTTATGTTTTATTTTCATTCATTTCTTTATTCTATTTATTATTTATTTAATTTATTTGTTTATTATTCTCATTTATTCATTATTTTGTGTCATTATTCTCATTTCATAATTATATAATGTATAATTTATTAATATCATAATATGAATCTATGCATTTTGTGTATTTCTTTTCTTCATGATGATTTAATATATAATTATTTATTATTCATTATTTATCATCAAGAAATTATAATTTACATTATAATTAATTTTTATTAATTTTAAATGATTTATTATTCATATTAATTATATTATGATTATTATCTTTTAATAATGATATAAATATTTTTATAATTATATTTATACAATTGATATGATGATAATTAATGAAATTGTTCATATCACTTCATTTGTTGATTAATATTGTTATTCAATTTACCATATTTAATTTGATAAATTCATTAAAATTTAACTATTTATTAAATATATTAAGAATATATTCTCTTGATAATGATATTCTCTTCAATTAATATAAATAAATAATATCAATATCTGGTGATTTCTAGTTATTTATTTTCATTATAATTAAATTAGATCATCCAATGTGATGATGATATTATCACAATTTATGTATATTTCATTCTAAACTATGATTTATCTTTTTCATTTCTTTAAGTTGAATGATGATAGAGTTAAGATATTCATCATCAATATCAGTAGAGTTATTTTTATGATAATATTTTTTATTATTGGATTACATTCCACTTTCTATGATGGAGTTCATTTCAATTTTAATATATATTTTAGTTGTTTATTTTATTTTATGTGATATTTTAATATTATTAATGTATTCTTTATCATTATTTACATTATTATTTATTACTTTTATTATGCTTTCTATTTGTTCATTTCTTAATTTCTTATTTAATTTCTTATTTAACCAGTTAATTGCAAAACAATACAACACATCAATTAAAATTCTGTTTGTTTGATTTGTTGTGTTTTCTTTTCTTCTTGATTGATTATCATTTCTTGTTTTTTGATACTCAGTGTTTTGCTCTCTTCTTCTTCTATTTCCAGAATTGTCTTTTTCATAGTTGTAGTTTGGTTCATTTGTATTGCCCCCAGATGATGATGTTCTCAGTATTTGTTGTGTGTTTATCACTAGAGTCATTATTTTCTTCTTCTCTATTTCTGAAATAAAAAATAAACAATAAATTGATGATGATTTGATATTATTTGTTTTTGTTCTTCATTTTCTCTTTGTGTATGGTCTAATTCTTTTCTTGTTATTTCTTCAATCTCATAGTTTTCAATCACACTTTTTAATATTCAATGATTTGTTTTTATTTATCTCTTATACTCTTCTTTAATATATCATCATTCTTCATCTCATCCTTATTTAACTTCTCATAATTTACTTGGAGAATGATGATTTCATCTTTATTCATATTCTGTGTTATTT